TAAACGGGTCTCCCCGCTTCGACCATTATTTTCTATCTGCAGTTAAAGACAAAAGCCTGGCCCGTAGCTAATTTACTGGTTCGAGAATTTCGGATTAAATGAACAGAAAAAAATCCTTAAAGTTTAGTTTATTTTTACGCATAAATCCACCGAACAACTCGTCTACGGAAAGAACAATGTCGGAAGGTTGGTATCTCTCACTTTCCGAGTATCTCCAAAGCGTAATTTATGCACCCTTCATTCGTCTATTTTCCATATTTTCCGGCTTAAGTAGAAAATGAATAACACTTAAATTAAATTATCAATGTCTGGTGAAGAGGAAGCATCTGAAATTCCACGTAAATTTGGAGCGTAAGAACGAGTACAAAAACACGTAATTATTCATAGAAAACAAGAAAGTTTTTTGCGCATTTTTAAAATAAAACAAATAAAAATCTATTTGAAATATTAAAAAGACAAAAATATAATTTTAAAATGTAATTCGAGACGAATTTTTTGAAGATAAGCGCGATAAGTTCGGTAATAAATAAGTTTGTCGGACATTAAAAAACGAAATAAGTAAGAAAAGAAATTAATTTAATTCGCAATTTAAATATCATTCGAGTCTGCCCATTATTTTGTATCGAATTTAATTTCGAACATTGCAGTTTTTTACATAAAAAATGCTATAAAAACTAGAAATTAATCATTTTAATTAGACATAAAAGTCATATGACAAAAAAATTATTTATTTTATAAAAAAATTATAACAAAGTAAATTTACTTATTTTAAAACAAAAGAAACGCTCTTTTCATTCGAGAGAAATTAAGAAAAGTACTCCGATAAATTACAAAATATTAAAACGTAAAAAGCAAAGTTAATAATAGAAGGATATTATTAGATATTAAGTAAATATTTAAGAGAAAAATAAATTAAAAATTGATAAATAAATAAGTAAATATGTTTAAATAATAATTTTGACGATGGAATATAAATGTAAAAATTATAAATAATAAAATGGTAAATAAACGTAAGGGGAAGAAGTCGTTAAGTAATTGATGGATGCGATCGTTCGGAGTGGAAGAAACGAAGAAAAACGGCAAATATTTTATCCATTTTTGTATTTAAATATAAATGACGATTGCGATTTTAATAGATAAATTTGAATATAAATAGAATTTGTTTTTAAAAGCAGAAAAATAAAAACTGTAAAAGATAAAATGTTTCTTTTCCAACGAAATCAATTGAAAATACGTAATCGAAGTCGAAGGGAAAATTGTAAAGAAGAGAGCTTTTATACACTTTTATAAGAAGAATAAGGCTTCGTGTCGGCCTTTAATGGAGAATAAATTAAAAAGAAACATGAAAAAAGGCAAAAATCCTATTTTGAATTCATCAAATTTCATTAATTCGTAAATTGCATCCACCTTCCTTATTAAAAAATAAGAAAGTAAACAATCTTCTCTCAAAATTCTGATATACGATTCGAAGGAAGATTGTTTATTTTTCCAGAAAACTAATCAAAAATGATTTATTTAAGTATATTTTTCCAGTTTTCTTTATTCGTTTAACAATTCGAAATTATTTTTCAAAATATATCTTTTTATTTTCCACTCGAAATGTCTCGCTTTCACGTTCGTACGTTTCCATCTTCTACCGCCAAACAAAATAAAAGACCAAGAAAAACCATCAAAATATAAAGTTACAACGATGTAAATACGGAGATAAAATTGGACGGACAAACGAACGTACGGTATGTTTTGGGTTTAGACGTATGACAAATAGTATAACGTCATACGTCCGTTTAAAAGCGCGTGGTTCGTAACAGAAAACGTAATAATGCCACAACGGGTGTAGTTCGTACGATGGCGTGTCCCCGGTCTTAAGTCGTCGATACCCTTCGCGTTCCACGCTGTAAATTATTCTTTATAAACGCGTAAAAACGTCACGCGGGGAATGAAAGTTGACGAACGTAGTGTCCGCCTCTATTCACGCGCCGGTGTTACACGTCAAACGATCGATATTGGGCGCGTAACGTCCGAGTTTTCCAGTAACTGGCGGCGATTACGAAGTTAATGCATGGTACTCGCCGCCAGTCACTGAAAGTCGGTGATGAATAGAAGGGAAAATTGCTTACGTGTCCCGAAACGATTCTTTTTAACTTAAATTTCGTAATTATAAAACGACGTCGATAAGAATTCCTAAATAACAATATCAAAACTTTTCGACTTATCCTCTAATTATATCGTTCCGGAGATAATGCAAACGTATACAGTACAGTATTTATCGAACATTGTCCAACTCCAATTTAACTTCCGAATACGTTTATAATAAATGGCTTATCGGTAATTTCGTATCATTAAATAAATTACTGCGCAATTTCGTACATTAGATTACGGATGAGATCGAATGTAAGTGGGCTTCTATAATTTAATGCCCTATATAAACGATGGTGTCGTAATTTGACAGAGACTAGGGGTCGCCGAGAAAATACAGAGAAATTGATCGAGAACCCAACGAGAAATGTACAGAAACTGAAATAACGTCAACCGGTTAATGCAGAAATGCAAAATTCGGGCTTAACCGGGACAAATTATGTCGAGGTATTTTACCGTCCTCAATATTTAAAAGGTTTTTGAATAAGGTAGCCACCGATTTTCTTCGATAAGAATGATTTTTAAAGTAAGAGAAATGTCAATTTTTCTTTCGTCGCTAATAATCGGCGAAAAGGGAAGACAATTTCTTCCGACCACTAATTACAGACCGATTTTTAAAGAAAACTTTTTGTTCTAATTATCGAAGAAAAATCGTTCCTTATCGTTACTCTTCGTTGTCTCGTAATAAACGACTTTATAAAAAGATAAAAATTCCATAAACATATTTTCCTTCCGTGGCAAAGGAGAGAAAAAAGGAGGAAGGATTCGGTTCCCGTTTCCTATCGATCCCCGCTAACCAGGTCGTCTCCTTTCCGAGGGACGACGTCGGACACGACTTTGCGATTAAACTAAAAGAAGTCGGAGGTGTCGAAACGTGTTCGGCTAATAAAACTTCGGGAATAATCGGACGTTCTTTCCCAAAATTTTAACCTTAAACTACCGTAATTAATTCCGGATACGAAGATAATTTCCGCCACTTTTTAATACAGAAAAAATATAAAAAACGAATTTCGCAATTCGTTTGTATATACAGTACATACAACCAATATAAACGGAAAATGTATCGCTTTATTATTGATTTTTCGCCCGTCCCTATAGCATTTTACATACGTCCGCAATCTTTTGCGCTCTAATTGTCGTTTTACTCCAACATAATTAATCTTACGCTGCCAGTAAGTCAAATTAAGGAAGATTTCGTACGATCGATTACATTCGGAGCGAAATATTTTAAACCAGACGAAAAATTAGCGATTTTATTACGTTAGACTGCAAATCTTACGTTCTTTCCTTTCTGCACCTGGCAAATTCCTGCGCGTGAAAAATACACTGGCCAAACACGAGTTTACCTTCCACTTTCCCATCGATTACGTAAAAAATTGAAGTTCCTACAAACGTCGATAAATGTGCAATTCGAAATGTTACGGCCATCGTCGAGAGAGTGAAGTAAACGGCGAAGAAGTTTCGAAAGGAGCGAGACGAATCGACTAAAATCGAAAAAAATACTTTTCTGTACGTTAGTTACGCTTAGTCTCGATACAGATTACGTTTTCCCAGCCACGCGACTTACAAATTTATAATCGTGTCCGAGACGAAGAGCCGAGAGAAGGTAAGGCTATAAATTAAAAGAAAATTACGGTTCCCGAGAGAAAGGAAAGAAACCGTATTCCGCTGTTAGAATTAATAAATAATTGGTTTTTGTATATTTCCATTTTCTGCTCAGAAAACTCGAATTAATTTCTAAAAATTAGAAATATTTAGTACGATAAACAAACGAAACGTGGGCCACTTTTCCACGCTTTCTTCCGCCACCGGAAAACAAAACTTCCGTCTCTTTTCCTACCACTTAACTAATTATCATAAAATTTAATCCAATTAAGAACTTTTCCAAACTTCGCTCTTCGATTTTATTAGGAAAGTTTCGAACAATTAAGCGATTAAATGAGAAAATAAACCGCTTTACCGGACGAAATGAAACATTAGCTAAGAATTAGGTAGAAATTATTAAGGTGGCAAGAAGTGCGCGACTGGTCGTTATAATAAAAAAACAATTGAAATTACGGTTTGATAAATAAAAGTCGCTTCGATGGGAAATTTTGAACCGTGTTTTGCATCGTAGGATATCGATTTAGTCTATAAACAAAATTTGTAACGGAAGCGCATCTCTTCTCCCCACTCGATACGCCGCATAGAAATATAGAAAATTTACTTATAATTCGTTCTATATCGCATCGTTTTCTTTGCATAATAGCTTTAAAATATTTTAAAACGCTTACCCATCCTATACAGTACAGTAACAAACAATGACGGTAATTTATTCGCAATTTTCTACGCACCGGAGACAAACAATATTTTGCCAATGTAAAGAAGGTAAAATGCCAGATGAGCGTATTATACGAGAAGATACACGAGTTTCCGTCAAGGAACGAGATCGTTTCTTGAAGAAAGGATTCGTTTCGTCTTTCCCGGCAAGTTCGACGGCCTCGACGGCGTTTGGTAAACGAGTGCAACAGTTGTCTCGGGTATAGAAGGAATAACGCGTCACGGAGACGGGTACGCGCTTCTTTATAACCGAGGGGACGAGCAACAAAACTGATATAAATCTTAAATATGACCCGGAAAATAAGTTACATAAAAGATGAGTAACGATAAAAATACTCGGACCGTTTTCTTTTTTTCTAAATTCTGCCATCTTTACCGCGATAACGATAACGTTCGTAACTCGTCGTTCAATTGAGAAGGCGCGACAACGCGAGATGACGTTAACGTCCGGAAAGTCGCGAGTTACGAGAAGGAGCGAGGGCATAGCGCGATTCCATCCGAAGGAATACGGATAGTTTTCGAGGGAGGAGGCGCCGGAAACTTACCTTCGACCAAATGCGACGAGGCGGAGTTCCTCTTCGCGTGGGACCTTCCGAATCGTTACGTTATCCACCTGTCGAGTAAAAAGATAGAAAAGGTCATCGACTAATCGGATAATAAACCCGGTGGAATTTCTGCACCCTCCGAAATCCAGTTTATACACGAATCTCTCTTTCGTAACACTCCGGTTCGAACCCCGGAGTAAATTTCCTTCGCACCTTTAACACGGTGGCACTTTTGAACGCGCGTTGCCGGGAGACGAGGAGTCGACCTCCCGATCTTTCTTAAACTGGAATGCGGACGAGGCACAAAGTGCGGAAGCAACTTCTTACCTGAAGCCTAACCGTCCGACAGACGGAACGCGTCTACCTATCGGTTCCCTCCACCGCCACCCCTATATAAACCGGCGGAAGAGTCCATCCGGTGGGGAGGAAGCGCCGAACGCGCCGGCGCGGCGTCCGCCTTATCGATCGCGGGGTCCGAGCGCTTCCGGCGCGCCGTTCGAACCGATAAAAGATGCATCGGCCGCGGGTGTTGCTCTCGCCGGACCCGGGACGCACGTGTCGAAAAATCGGTCGAATGGGGTCACCCTCCGACGTGGTAAGTAGTTTACGCGCAAACGCGGGGGAAGATAACGGAAAGACGAGCAAATATTTATTGCCAAATCGTCACATTGCCGGATTACAATTTTTAATTTATTTAATTTAAAATATATCAAATTAGTAGTGTCTCGCTTCTATACGTAATACTTTTCCTGCTAGCAATAGTCGGTAAAATCTACGTTTACCGAGAAACCGTTCGGTTTTTCATCGATAAATAAAGGAAATAAGTGGATAAGAAGAATATTTTAAGAAATAATAGAAGATTTGCAAACACCTTATTAATACACGCCACGCCTTACCTATTTGTAATTCAAAGTTAACGCGTAATTTTTTTATTTCTTGTGGAAAACTTGATTTTTTTCCACTTCTCGTTGCTTACGTCGAGAAATATAAGCGCGAATGTAAATGTACTGTGCAATGCCCCAAATCTTATCAGCAGAAAGAAAATAGAAGTAAGGTGCGAACAGGTAGGAGTTTATTCGTCGGTTAGTGAATAAATAATTGCTACAACGACCTCTCGCTGTTATCCAATCGGAAGCCATTACAAACTCCGACAAGGATGCTACAAGATCCCTGTAAGAGAATCTTACTGCTATCGTTGGCAGCTACGGTTTTCAAACTTGGATAATGTAAAGATTTCTTTTGAAAAAAGATTTTACTTTAATTTATTTCAGTATTTGTTACATTAACAATAGCAAATTTTAATATGGATATGGATTTCTTTATAACTTTACAGATTCCTTTCTTAATCGAAACAGTAGCTACGCATAAATTTATTTCGGAGTACCTCGGAAGAACGTTGGCAAATCTGTAGAGATCGGAGAAATTACGATGTAAAGAGTTGGTTGGTAAATTCTACTTCTTACAACTAATTTCTGACGTATAGATTATGTCTGTGACTTCGGGAGCAAAATAATCCGGTCGTAGTCATCGTTATTTGTATTTTTCTAATCGATATAGCCGATATCTTTTCTTAGAATCTTTCTCGGAGCGAGATGAGAGTCGATACTTTGGATGTTATATAACGGCCTTATTATTTCTTCTTCCAAGGAACGAGTTATCCGGTTATACGAAATTAATTAATCGATGGACATCTCTAAAACTGTTTCTTGCCACCGGAAATCATCGGGCGAGTCAAATTTAAACTTAACGTTATGGGAAAGTTCGAGATACTATCTTGACATTTTCCTCGAATTTCGGGTAAGATCTCTGACAAATCGCAATGAATCCTCCTACACTTATCCAAATGCCGAGTGTAGGCGCGTAATTATGACGATTTTCCATAGAGAATTGACCTTAGCCAGAATTTAATTAACGCCACGTTCGGAATCGCGTAAAACTGTATCATTCTCTTCCACTTCGTCAGCGAATTTCGGTAAAATCCAATCGTTAATATTTAAACTTCACGCCCGTGTTGTTACGTCGTTACTCGTTGTTAACGATTTCGTTTTTCTTTTACGTAATTTCTATCCTTAGTATACGAGTACCGGGCGTGACGACGGTGTAAACAAAGTTTGGCGCAAACGGAAAATGACAGGAAAAGTTAATACAGACGAGTGCCATTTTCCGACCGGTTCCGTATAATTCGGAAGTTCTGACGTCCTTCCTCCTCCGTTTTCTCTTCTCCCAAATTACACTTAGACTAATAATTAGGTTGCAGTTATTGTTATGCTACCGGCAACGTGCCACGGTTTCGTTTCCCGATCCTCTGTTTTCGTCCGACATCCGCATCCGGTCTCATTTCCTTTTCCGACTCAAACTGTTATCGAGTTTATCATTGGTGGAAGACTCGGCTTCTGGAATTTAACGAAGATAAAAGATAAGCCAAAGGCAGAAAGTTCTGTAGACTGGCAATTTAAACATGGACGTCCGAAACAACAATATTTAAATTGCATCGGATAATTCACGTAAATCTTAAGAGGTATTATTTGCTAAATTTGGAAAGATCCCGGCGCATAATCTTCCAGTAATGGAGAGAAAGGGTTACCTTAAGTTCTCCCGGAGAATTCGTCGGGAAGAAAGTTTCATCCAGTCTTGGATAAAGATGAGAAGAAAAAAGATTAAAGCGGGTGGCCGGTTCCGGACGCCCGCGGACATCGATGAAAAAAAACCAGAAATGGTATTTTGTAAAACGTATCGAAAAGAAGATAAGGAAACTTTTGTGAAAAAGAAGAAAAGTCACTTTATTGTTTTACTTCGTAGTTTCTTTTTCTCATTTTAAATCCTTCTTAACTTTTACAATTGGGAAAGATGCTTGCGATTTGAACGTAAACAGAGACTAAAAAAGTATACTTTCCAGTTTCTCCGCACGCGCAATTATGTAATTAGTGGTTAATTGGTGTTAATACAATGATTTTTAGTTTCGTTTTTTCACTCGAACCGTAAGAACTACATTAGGATGGAATGACATTCCGAGGAACTGATATAAACGTACGGTACAGTACGTCTCGGAGGACGGAAAATACCGAGGAGTAAAAAGCGCGAAGCTTCCGATATAATTTTTATCTTTACGTAATAAAAAATTTTTAAAATTAATTTACTGTTCATTACCCGTGTGTTTCTAGCAGATTAACGTTTTACATCGGCTCCCGAACACCCTTTTACACTGTCCAAAAGGCTGGTCAAAGTGAGACGGAGATATTATCTGCATTGATGTGTAAGGTGTAGAAGAAAGAGAATGACGCAACCGAACATAATATAAAAGTTTTTCTTAAAGGAAGACGACGTATTTGAAATTTTCTTCCGACCCTCCGCCTCATCCGGCCATAAGCAAAAACTTATGACTATTTCTGGAAATACCACGAAATATTATGTTTCTCGGCGTATTGATAAAATATTTTATAGTTTTAATAAAATATTTCTCAAAAAATATTACCGACGATTTTGACACGAAATTTCTAACAAAAGTTAAAGGGTGGTGTTAATTATTACTGCTTTGTATTAGTGTACGAACTAATAACTGCGTGCTAAAAACAGTTGAAAATATACAACGGGGCGCATAATACGCTCCCTATCACAAAAATATAAAAACGTTTGTAATTTTTATGATATGCGAGTAAATTTCTACTAAATGTCAACCCAATCTCTTCTTTTATGAGGAAGAAACAGAAATATTCCTTTTTCTCAAATTCTTGCAGAGGTGGCGATATCCGCCGTTCCTCGATACGAGATACGGAAGATGATCAAACGATCATTTATTTATATAGTCTTATAGTAGTGTTACGTAACGCCGGTTAAACTACGTTATTAATAACGTCATTTCTGCTATACGAACGCCACTATCTATCAACGTCAAACCGTAACCGATAAATAACCGGGTTCGAGTTTACGCCGAGAGAAAGTATCGAGAGGGTCAAAGGTTACGTCGCCAGCATGCACGCGCTAACTTTTAAACTAATGAAGATAGAACGATATGTCAAACACCGCAGAAAGTCGAAGTATACAGAAAAATTGGTACATAAAAACTTTTTGGTAAGCCAGAGAAGACGAAAGAATACGAGACAGTTGCGAAATATCTTCAAAATGACGCTGGCAAATCGATGAAGTTTCTCGGGTTTTACCCTTTTATTTTATACGGCATTATCTTTTTGGTATCTCGAAACACTTCCTAAAATCGACGGCACTTCTTTTATTTTCCATTCACTAAAAGAATATTATAGCAAATTTATAATTATTATCAAATATCCGTATAAAAATTCCGCCAAACGAAGACGACGTGGGGACAAAATATACAGATTTCGAACACGTGTTTACATTTTATGTTGGATTCTTATCCTTCATTAATACACGTTTTATTACAACAAAACAATGCGATAGAAAATAATCGATTTTTCGTTGTTCCACATTACGATTTTCCTCGATTAACCATTTATATTCTTTAGCAGATAAGATTTTTACTTAATTTTCCAAATGAATGGAATCGACTGGAATGATGCCAATTACAAGCGTAAACAAGATGCACCTGCACAATCCAATATGTCAAAATAATAGAATGTATTGTCGAGAAAAGAAAAAAACTTTAGCAAAAAAATTAATTATTAACGGTTATCCATGTTTAAATCAAAGATATTGTAAATAATTTATAAAAATTACGCATTTAATCCTCGACGATATAGAATTATATCGGTAAAGTTTCTCCTAGATAAAAAGGAAGTTAATTAAATCAAGTAATAAATATGGTCGAATATTAGTATATATTAAATTATTTACAACAGAACATAAAAATATTTTCAGTTATTCAGATTTTATGTACATAAATATTATTTATTTTATAGAAAATAATGAATGTTTACAATAATCGAAGAATTATATTTCGCTTCTTTGTTAAAAATTTAATAAATATTTAACGGAATCTTTATAAATAAAATTATTTTATAGGATCGCATTCGGCTTTAATTTTTGTGCTCTTTACTAAATGTGCAAAGAAGAAGAAACTAAGAAAATGAGCGACTTCCGAGTTAACGAAGTCTTTGTATAATTTACATATTGCAACGGCACGAAAATATAAGTACGATAAATGGAGCTAAAACCAAATTAGACTCTGGTAGAAGTCTATAGAAGACTATAAACTGCATTACTAATAGAGCTTAATTTAGACGAATACGGTGTGATTTTCATCCCTAAAGTTGTAAATATTTATAAAGTATTTGTGAAATATAAACATTAGATAAAGAATAAGTAATTTAATTTAAATACTTTAGTCGTTTTATACATTTAAAATACTCGAAACGGAGTCAAATATTTAAATTTCAAACATTATTT